GCAGCAGCGATCAACTCAGGAGACAGACTTCCGTGACCAGATGTGTGGGGAGTTCTCCCCAGCAGCAGGCGTGCGGCAGTTCTGCAGGGGACACTGCTGGGTGCGCGCCATTCAATCCTGACGCCATCTGCCTGGAGACAGCGTCCGATCCCACAGGCCCCGGGCTCAGCCCCCGCTTCTGGTGCCAGTTGTAAGCTACAGGTTGTGACACCTGTGCCTCCGACTGTCTGGCTACAACCTGGGGTTCACACAACACCCTTCTTAATTTGCTGAGTGGCCCACGGAAATCAGGGAAACACTTCTGCTGACCCGTTTATTATAACGATGCATGGGGCCAGGTATGGGGGAAGGGTCACAGAGCCTCCACGCCCTCCCGGCACCACCCTCCAGGAACCTCCACGAGTTTAGCTTCTGGAAGCTCTCCGAACCCTGGTCCTCTAGGTTTTTATGGAGGCTTCGTTACATAGGCATGATGGATTAAACCATTGGCCATTGGCAATCAGCTTAACCTTCAGTCCCCTCCTGCCACCCCATCCTGAGGTTGGGTGTGGCTGAAAGTCCTGCCTCGGTCTTTCCGGTGACCAGGTGACCAGCCCCTCTCTGGAGCTACCTGGGGGCTGCCAGCCATCGGTCAATCATTAGCACACAAAACAACCCGATTTGGAGACAGTAAGAATGTTAGGAGTTGTACACCAGGCGACAGGGAAGACCAGACGTGTATCTCACAGTGTCGCACACCACACTCACTGACATCCAGCAGCAAAGACAAACAGAAGTAGCAACCACATCCGGGAGAGACTTTTATCCTTCACTCAGGGAGGGCTGTCAGAACTCGCACCTGAGCTTAGCAGGTAAGTGAGCTCAACCTCAGAATTTTCAGATGACCACGGCAGTCAACACGATTACTGTCGTACAGGACTTTAATTCCTATCTGGAGACTCTCAGAGCAAAAGAGGTCACTAAGTGAGGCTCCATCAAAGGACTGCCACCTATGCCTTGACAAAAGGGCCAGAATCAATCAAAGCAGCCTCCAAGGACTAGGATTAACAACTGGGGGGAGAAACGACCCAAGTCTGTCTTATGAGCTGGATTGTGTCCCCCAAATTGAAGTCCTAACCCCCAGGAACTCAGGATGTGACCCTATTTGGAGAAAGGGCCTTCAGAGAGGTGAAGTGAAATGAGACCCTTACGATGGGCCCTAGTCAGATCTTTACAGGAAGAGGGGATCAAGACACGGACACACACCGAGGGACCACCACACGAGGACAGCGTGGAGGTGCCCTCTGGAAGCCCAGGAGAAAGGTCTCAGGAGAACCCAGCCCTGCCACACCTCATCCTGGACTTCTGCCCCAGGACTGCGGGAACTGTCTGCAGTTTAAGTGTGTGGCTTTGTTACCACGGCCTGATCTGACGCACACAGCCTGGCAAATGCCTCTAGATGAAGGCAACCAGCTTTCCCTTCCTGATCCCCGCGTGGAGCCCCCGTCTCCATGACAGGACCAGGCAGCAGGTGTGTCTGCATGGTGGCAGTTAGGAAGATGGACGCACTGACTCCTGAGGACCTTCCTGAGCCCCCCACTTCCCAATGCCAGCCCCATCCTGCTGCCTGTCCCCAAGCCACCAGCCCTGCTCCCGGCAGCCCCAGCACCCACCAACCCCTGGCAGGCTCCCCCTCCAACAATGTGAAGGGTGAGAGGCCGGGGCTGGCCCAGGAGGGGTGCTCCAGCCCATCTGCCCTGTTGGGTGGGGAGGGGCACCTGCTCTGGGTGACCGTGGTATGGTCCCAGCCCACCGTCCAGCTTTCTCGTTCTCCAGAAACAGGAGACTGGCACAGGGGAGGGTCCCCCACCCAGAGGAATAGGAAGGCTTGGGTGCCCATGCTGCTGGGGCATACCAGGCGGCCCCGGTGCCACTCTGGGGAAGCACCTTGTGCCAAGGGGGCATCATGCCTCGGGGAAGGGCAGAGGGGCCTCCCGTGGGATGCTGGCAGGGGCAAGGCCAGGCCGAGGGTGACAGGCCACCCCAGACCCCAGACGCTCTGCATCACAGGTGACCTTAGGCAGTTTTAACTTTGTTTTGAAGAACGCAGCTTCCCAGAGGAGTTGCGGACTGTGAGCTCCGTAAGATCCCCAGGACAGGAACTACTTCTAAGAGTGTGAGGCACACACAGAGACACGTCTTTCTGTCTTTCTGAAGCACACAGACAGCTCACCTTGGCGAAGAACGGGAGGGTCGGAATGAGGCCTGGACTGCCCTGTCACATGCCCCCCCTGCCATGCACGTGCAGGGTGTCACGAGGGACAATGGCCGAGGCCTGAATGAGGTCGACTCCCAGGAGGGGCTTCCTGGTGTCGGGTCCCCTATGGCCCATCCACCGTAGGGGTCTCGGGAGGATGAGGCCACTGCCACCTCAGGAGAGAGATGATGTCACTGAGAGGAATTCAATACAAGAAGGAAACCCCCCCAGATACCGAAGGCCCCAGACTCGCGGGTGAGCCTTCTTGGCAGCAGGAGCACATTTGGCAACACCGAGTGTGGATGTGCCGTGGACAAGGCATCTCTGGATTTAAAGGGAGAGGGGGAGAGCAGACAGTCTCAGTGTTTACTGATTGGTTTTTGTACAAAATAACTCATATTACAAATTTTCCACTACTGCTGAGCACTAACACATACAGTCCTTGCCCCAGGAGTGTTCTCCACCTAGAGCCACGGTATTTACATTGTGGGTAGCATGTGTACGTTTGGAAAATCAAGAAGCTCTTGGGACACTCAGAAGAAGGTGCCCTTCATGCCTGAGAGTCTGCAAAGATCCCACCTTAATAAAAGCAATGATCCAAAGAGAATCAAATAACAAAATTGAGACTATTCCAGAGATCTCTTGTCTTTCTCTTGAGAGTGACTCTTAAAAGCGAATCCAAAGAAGGAAATCCAAGGTGAGATGCTGCAGTTTCAAGTGGTGGATCACTTCATGTCCTGCGGCTAAAAGGGCCCCAGTGCACCCTCAGCAGGTTGTAGAACCAGAACAAAGGCATCTCCATTTCATGAATCCTCCAACAATGCGGGCAACTCTAATTTCAAGCTAACTTTTTCAGTCTATAGGTCAGATTTCAAGGATTTCAAGATAAAATTTAGATTGAGTGGTGCTAATTAGAAATCACTGTGCTCTACGATAAGGGACTCACTGTCCCGTCTCTCTTGATCGTGGCAGTTAGGAAGATGGATGCACTGACTCCTGAGGACCTTCCTGAGCCCCCCACTTCCCAATGCCAGCCCCATCCTGCTGCCTGTCCCCAAGCCACCAGCCCTGCTCCCGGCAGCCCCAGCACCCACCAACCCCTGGCAGGCTCCCCCTCCAACAATGTGAAGGGTGAGAGGCCGGGGCTGGCCCAGGAGGGGTGCTCCAGCCCATCTGCCCTGTTGGGTGGGGAGGGGCACCTGCTCTGGGTGACCGTGGTATGGTCCCAGCCCACCGTCCAGCTTTCTCGTTCTCCAGAAACAGGAGACTGGCACAGGGGAGGGTCCCCCACCCAGAGGAATAGGAAGGCTTGGGTGCCCATGCTACGAAGAACCTGAAATTCTCTAAGTCTGGTTCCAAAATTTGTGCCCTAGTGAGGAGATCCACAAATGGGAGAAAGGTCTAGAATGTCTGCTAGCTCACAGCCTTGTGTTCAAATAGCTTGGATGTGTTTGGGAGGCGGGAGGAGTCCCCCAGGGCAGGGGACTGGGGACCCAGAAGTTGGCCAGAAAGCAGACTCTGCCTTTGGCTGCATGACAGAACTGAGAAGGCCCAAGATGTGCCTGGGCACGGACTGGGGGAAGGGCCCTCTCTGTTCTTCTGTACCGAGCACGGCTCTGCCCAAAGTAAGCTGCATCCAAGTCAGCAGAGGAAGCCAAAGGCCCAGGCAATGCAGCAGGAAAATGCAGAGAGGGGCTCTGGGGGACACCATTTGCCCCACTCGGGAATACACGAGTGATGCCAAGCCAGCCCGAGGAGACGTCAACGCCAGTAATAATTAAACAATGGCTGGCTTTTCAGGGAATTACTCAAGACTCGGTTCCTATTTTAATCCAAACATAAAGCAACAAATCTATTATGTCAAATTGCACTAATATATTAGCAGTCATTGACACGGTGGGGAAGGACGTAGAAAAGGAAAGGAGACTGAAAGCAGGATTTCACCACGTCTGAAATTACTGTGCGTGTGTACTAGGACCGAACAAGAGCGTAAGTGGGTTTTATATAGTCGGAACCAGGGTTCTGACCGTCAGAGAAGGAGGTGACATCCGCAAGGGGAGGTTGGCATGGCCCTGCGGAGCTGCACAGGACGGGGCGGCAGTGGACCTCGCGCCTCGCGCTGTAAACACAGACAGAGGCAGAAGTAAATACAGACGCGTGCATGCACATGGGTGTACACGTGCACGTGTCTCTGCATGGCGTCTGCTGAGGGCCCAGAAACAACACCACCTCGGCAGCGGCAAGCACAGCCGCACTCAGCCCTGGTTTCTAAGATCATCCCCAACAAACAATGCAGGCTCCTTGTAGAAATGCAGATTCCAGGGCCAGAGCAGGGAAAACACGAGAGAGCCTGGGACATATCATAATGCCAGAAAGTAAGTACTGAAACAATACATATATGTGTGGCATGTCGAAAGGACACATGAGCCAATGTGCAAGATCTCATGATGGCCGATACCGGAGCCACTCAGCTGTAGGACAAGCAATGCAGCATTGCACTGTAACCCGGGGATAAAATAAGGATGCGAGCCCACGCCAGTGTAGACAAATGTGGATAAAGAGGTAAAGCAGGGAGAAGGGGCAGACGTTCCCAACAGAAGAATCATGAGGAACATAGGCAGACATTCCTCTCTCGGAGGTGGAGGTTAAGTCCCCTCCATGGTTGGCTAGACTTGGTGACTCGCTCCCACGGAGTTGAATGTACTGGGGAAACTGAGCAGACACCACGGGGACCCTGTCCATGACCGAGGTTAACGTCATCTGTGGGAATCCATGTTGCTCCCACGTATCCTGCTATAACGGGATGAGAAACGTGCTTTGCTCTGGGGTNTCGGGTCCCCTATGGCCCATCCACCGTAGGGGTCTCGGGAGGATGAGGCCACTGCCACCTCGGGAGACAGATGATGTCACTGAGAGGAATTCAATACAAGAAGGAAACCCCCCAGATACCGAAGGCCCCGAACTCGCGGGTGAGCCTTCTTGGCAGCGGAAGCACGTTTGGCAACACCGAGTGTGGATGTGCCGTGGACAAGGCCCACGAAGGACATCCCACTAAAACCCATCTCTGGATTTAAAGGGAGAGGGGGAGAGCAGACAGTCTCAGTGTTTACTGATTGGTTTTTGTACAAAATAACTCATATTACAAATTTTCCACTACTGCTGAGCACTAACACATACAGTCCTTGCCCCAGGAGTGTTCTCCACCTAGAGCCACGGTATTTACATTGTGGGTAGCATGTGTACGTTTGGAAAATCAAGAAGCTCTTGGGACACTCAGAAGAAGGTGCCCTTCATGCCTGAGAGTCTGCAAAGATCCCACCTTAATAAAAGCAATGATCCAAAGAGAATCAAATAACAAAATTGAGACTATTCCAGAGATCTCTTGTCTTTCTCTTGAGAGTGACTCTTAAAAGCGAATCCAAAGAAGGAAATCCAAGGTGAGATGCTGCAGTTTCAAGTGGTGGATCACTTCATGTCCTGCGGCTAAAAGGGCCCCAGTGCACCCTCAGCTGGTTGTAGAACCAGAACAAAGGCATCTCCATTTCATGAATCCTCCAACAATGCGGGCAACTCTAATTTCAAGCTAACTTTTTCAGTCTATAGGTCAGATTTCAAGGATTTCAAGATAAAATTTAGATTGAGTGGTGCTAATTAGAAATCACTGTGCTCTACGATAAGGGACTCACTGTCCCGTCTCTCTTGATCAGGCTCTGGTTGGTTTAAGTCCAGTTCAGCTTCTTCAGTAGCCATGTGCTCCTAAACTTTCTGAGATTTTTCATAAACTTAAACTTCCTGGGCCCCCACTGCGTCATATGCCAAACGAAGAACCTGACATTCTCTAAGTCTGGTTCCAAAATTTGTGCCCTAGTGAGGAGATCCACAAAGGGGAGAAAGGTCTAGAATGTCTGCTAGCTCACAGCCTTGTGTTCAAATAGCTTGGATGTGTTTGGGAGGCGGGAGGAGTCCCCCAGGGCAGGGGACTGGGAACCCAGAAGTTGGCCAGAAAGCAGACTCTGCCTTTGGCTGCATGACAGAACTGAGAAGGCCCAAGATGTGCCTGGGCACGGGACAGGGTGAAGGGCCCTCTCTCGTTCTTCTGTCCCGAGCACGGCTCTGCCCAAAGTAAGCTGCATCCAAGTCAGCAGAGGAAGCCAAAGGCCCAGGCAATGCAGCCGGAAAATGCAGAGAGGGGCTCTGGGGGGACACCATTTGCCCCACTCGGGAATACACGAGTGATGCCAAGCCAGCCCGAGGAGGAGACGTCAACGCCAGTAATAATTAAACAATGGCTGGCTTTTCAGGGAATTACTCAAGACTCGGTTCCTATTTTAATCCAAACATAAAGCAACAAATCTATTATGTCAAATTGCACTAATATATTAGCAGTCAATGACACGGTGGGGAAGGACGTAGAAAAGGAAAGGAGACTGAAAGCAGGATTTCACCACGTCTGAAATTACTGTGCGTGTGTACTAGGACCAAACAAGAGCGTAAGTGGGTTTTATATAGTCAGAACCAGGGTTCTGACCGTCAGAGAAGAAGGCGACATCCGCAAGGGGAGGTTGGCATGGCCCTGCGGAGCTGCACAGGACGGGGCGGCAGTGGACCTCGCGCCTTGCGCTGTAAACACAGACAGAGGCAGAAGTAAATACAGACGCATGCATGCACATGGTGTCTCTGCATGGCGTCTGCTGAGGGCCCAGAAACAACACCACCTCGGCAGCGGCAAGCACAGCCGCACTCAGCCCTGGTTTTTAAGATCATCCCCAACAAACAATGCAGGCTCCTTGTAGAAATGCAGATTCCAGGGCCAGAGCAGGGAAAACACGAGAGAGCCTGGGACATATCATAATGCCAGAAAGTAAGTACTGAAACAGTACATATATGTGTGGCATGTCGAAAGGACACAGGAGCCAATGTGCAAGATCTCATGATGGCCGATACCAGAGCCACTCAGCCGCAGGACAAGCAATGCAGCATTGCACTGTAACCCGGGGATAAAATAAGGATGCTAGCCCACGCCAGTGTAGACAAATGTGGATAAAGAGGTAAAGCAGGGAGAAGGGGCAGACGTTCCCAACAGAAGAATCATGAGGAACATAGGCAGACATTCCTCTCTCGGAGGTGGAGATTAAGTCCCCTCCATGGTTGGCTAGACTTGGTGACTCGCTCCCACGGAGTTGATTGTACTGGGGAAACTGAGCAGACACCACGGGGACCCTGTCCATGACCGAGGTTAACGACATCCGTGGGGATCCATGTTGCTCCCACGTATCCTGCTATAACGGGATGAGAAACGTGCTTTGCTCTGGGGTCTTCCTCCCCAAAGCCACAGCCCAACCGAGCCATGAGAAAATGTTGGTCATCCCAAATTAAGGGACTGTCTACAAAATGCAATGCTCTTCAAAAGTACTAGTCATGAAAAACAAGGAAAAATGAGAAACTGTCATAGACTAAGGAGACGTGACAACCAAGCACAATGTGGTGTTCCGGATGGGGTCCTGGAGCTGAAAATAGAGCATTTGTGGAAAACCCAAATAAAGCCTGAACTTTCACTAACTGTGATATACCAATGCTAACTGCTCAGTTTTGGGGAACATTCTACGACTGTGGAAGACGTTTAGCATTACGGAGACTGGGCGGAGGGTCTGTGGGACTCTCTGTACTATCTTTGCAACTTTTCTGTCAATCTAACACTTTAAAATAAAAAGTTTATTTAAAAAGAAAAAGGCATCGCTATCAGGCTGACCTATCTGCCTCGTCTTCTAAGGTAGCGCAGGCCGAAGTGACCGAGATGCTGGCCTGTCCTCGGATGCCAGGATGTGGCTGAGAAGTCAGCCTATCTGGCTTGGTTGAAGTCAGATCAAATGAACAGGGCGTGTATTAGTCCGTTTCTGTTGCTTATAAGGAAATACATGGAACTGGGTATTTTATAAAGAAAATGAATTTTAGTGCTTACAGTTTCTGGGACTGGGAAGTCCAAAGTCCAGGGAACACAGCTGGTGAAGGTCTCGGTGGCGGTGACAGAAGTGCCAGGGTATCACATTGTGAAAACGGCCGAGCAGAGAGGGCAAGAGGCCGACTTCCTCGTTCTCTCTTATTGTAAAGCCTCCGAACCACGCCCCTGACCACCGTTTTTTAAAATTTTTTAAAAAATTTTTGTCCNATAAAGAAAATGAATTTTAGTGCTTACAGTTTCTGGGACTGGGAAGTCCAAAGTCCAGGGAGCACAGCTGGTGAAGGTCTCGGTGGCGGTGACAGAAGTGCCAGGGTATCAATCACATTGTGAAAACGGCCGAGCAGAGAGGGCAAGAGGCCGACTTCCTCGTTCTCTCTTATTGTAAAGCCTCCGAACCACGCCCCTGACCACCGTTTTTTTAAATTTTTAAAAAAATTTTTGTCCTTTTTGAGACCAGCTGCACCGTGCTCAGCCAGTGAGCGCACCGGTCATCCCTACATAGGATCCGAACCCACGGCGGGAGCGCTGCTGCCCTCCCAGCGCTGCACTCTCCCGAGTGGCCACGGGCTCGGCCATGATCACCGTTTTTAATCCACTCACTACACATGACCCTGCAACCTAATCACCTCCTCGAGGCTCCACCTTTCCATTCCCGTAATAAGATTTCCCACCCTCAAAAGTTACAGTGGGGGATTAAGCTTCTAACACATAAAACTTGGGGGACACAATTCAAGCTTCAGTGAGTTCTGGGGGACATAATTCAATCCACTACAGTGCATTTAAGAGAAGTCATATTTTTTGAAATCATCAACCTGAAAACAGCCCCTTTGGCAGCCAATAGGGCGAGAGAGTATTTTTAGCCTTGACATTCTGTATCTTCAAGGCAGCGCATTGGCACGTGAGGGTTGCCATGGCAACTGTGCCCGTTCTTCATTAACTGTCAGAGTGAATAAGCAGCCAGGAGTCTGGGCACGGACCTACTGCTGCAAAGACTGGAGGAGCTCCTGGAGCCCAGTGGGGACCATCGAGCAGTGGGTCTCACAGTCCCGCCCAGGAAGCAGGGCTCGAATGGTCCAGTCACCCGACTGAAGTGACGACTAAAAGGGAGGGTCAGAGTGCGCTGAATTTTACTCAGTTCCATTAATTAGGGAAGTACGTGGCCCACATATTTTATGAAAAGAAAGATGCACATTCAGGGATAATAGGATTAGAAATCTAACTTCCTATTTAAAAAACACAAAAATGGGAGAAAGCTGTTCTTGAGATGTGGCCAAAGCTACAAAGAATTTCCAGTTTTCTAAAACAATAGAGGGTG